ATGATAAATATAGATCATCGGTCAAATATGACCAATCTGTCATATTTGTCAACTAAATCAGATGATCGCTGCAGTTATAGATCACAGCTTCAACGTAAAGTTAATAAACAATAATAATGTATACACAGGTTAAAGGGGTTGCGAAGAATAAGTTTTTAACTTGATTAATTATACTCTTTATTAATAATATAATAAATTGTAAGTTCTCTACCTCGTAAGGTCATAAAGTAATAATTTCATCCAGAGAAATATTATCCTTACTCCTTCTTAAGGTATGTATTAATTGATAGATTTATTCATTGATATCCTTTTTCAATAAAAATATAAAGATATTTATACATGTTTGATAATTATAAAATAAACTAAACTAAATATATCTATGAAAAATAAATGATATCATCAAGAAATAAAGTTGATAAAATTGATCAGCAAAGATGATCATGTCAATAAAGTTGACTGTTACACTAGAAATAAAATTGACATATGGATCTACAATGTTTCAAATTAATTATTTAGGACATAAAATTGACATCAGGATCGACGAGATGATAAACAAGGACATCTAATTGACATTGGATTTGTAATCAGATTTTAGCCAAAATTTTACACTGTTACAATGTCATATAAAGAATCTGCTCTATATTTTGATAGAGCTAAATTCGGATAATAGAAGAATTTTATGAGTATGTTGTTTCTCTAAGCTTTTGCTTCTTTATGTTTCTAGCATAATTTTAATAATTGGCATAAAGTAAAGTTATGCCAATTAGCTTGAATCAAGATTTGCAATAGACTTATTTTTTATTAATCAGCGTTAGCAAACTTTTTTCTGATACAATGTTTCAGATACGATATGAAATGAAAAAAAATATCTTTTTAATATTAGCAATTCATGTAAAGGCAAAATTAAAAGCCTTTCTTCTTTCTAATACATATAGCTTTCGAGTAGCAATTTACGATATACTAACCCATTTATAGCTATCATGCAATTAGATTTGGGATTATATATTTTTTCATGAGCTTTATTCTCAGGCTCATACTCTGTCAGTTGATCTAATATATCCATATCATTAATATGAAAAGTCATTTATGACTTATCTTAATACTAAATAATTTAAATACACATTTTATTATAAAATTAAAAGTGAAAAAAGTTTTTATATTCTAAAATACTTACATAGATTGTGTTACTTGCCAGTATATCAAAAGAGATGATTCTATTTGTGAGGGAATCTGTACTCATACTACTGGTTGTTCAAGATACTGGAAATTATATGAAAAAAATATGAAAAAAAATCATGCCTTGTTTGTAGATTTCCTACTGATGCTAATTCAGGATATTATACTAATTATTGTTTCAAATATTCTGCAAAGTTTCATGTACTGAATTATCGAATGAGGCAGAAGTATAAGGCTAAGGCCCTTCAATCCGGAATTCCCTCTGAATTGTCTGCTAAGAAGTGAGCAAAAAATATTATTCCATTCATTAGTCGATTATTATATAAAATTTTGGCAAAAGCCAACGTTTTAAAAGTATGTGACTATGTATCCTAGCTGAAATGACGTAAGGATAGAGATATTTTTTAATAATATATGCTGATAAATGAAGGCTTTCCCTACCTGATTTATAATCGAATAGTATTAGCATATAGGAGGTTTGCTAGAAAAATAGGACTTTAAGCATTTTTATTAAATTTTTAATTTTTATTGCATTTTAATTTTTGATAATGTTGGATTAAAATGCAATAAAAATTAGAATTTTAATAAAAAATGCTTAGAGCCCATTTTTCTAGCAAACCTCCTATATATCAAATAAGTCCTGAATATCTTCTGTAATTTGCATATTATCCATTTTGCTAAAATTAGTAAAATTATCTATTATTCATCGGGTGGGAGTTTACTATATCTATACTGAGTATCTTTTCCATTTTCCCAATAAATTTCTTCACCCATTTGATATGAAGGTAATCTAGAAGCGTCTTTACTATTGAATGAACTTACTAGGTAATAATGTCTATGATTTTTATCTATAGCCTTAAATTTTAATTCATAAGTTGCATAAAGTGATGCATTTAATAAACCAAGTTTTGCTCGAATCGATTTTAATCCTGATTTTTTAGCACTATAAGATGCATCAGTATTATCAAATACTCAAATTATTTTAGATATTAAACCTTAGAGATATATTATTGATTTAGAAGAATCTATATGCACTTTAACATCATCAGCTTTATATCGTACTCTATCATCAATATCTCTAGCAGATGTACAAATTCTTAATAATTCTAAACAAATCTGATGCCTCTCAGCCCAGGTTATAATTGTAAGCCTATCTTCTCTGTAATCTTTATGAGTGATAACCTTAATAGCTGTTTTATTATCAGTACCAGCATCTCGTAACTGCCTATAAGCTCTGAACCATTTTATATGATTATAATTCTCGTTCTTCAAGATGAACTCTTCGGTCAATGATTCAGATAAAATCTTATAATAATCTACAATATGATGCTAGTCTAAAGAACGTATCTCTTCTAAAGTCTTTTTCAGCTTATTTTCTAAAATTCAGCAGTCTCATGATTAATAATAGTAGTATTATTTATTACTGATATCTCCTCTACCTTAACAGTAGCAGAATTCACCTTCACAACTTAAGATAACGATATAACATTTTCATCATATTTAGGAATAAGTTCTATGATGGAAATAATTATACCTACCTTTCGAAGAAAATCAATCATCCTCTAACCAAATAATCTTTGAGAATGGAATTTCTCCAACATAAATGCTACTCATAATCAAACAGTTGGTACATTCTTATTCCAGATGATAAAGTCTATGTCAGGAAATATTTCTCTATTCTGAAGTTTTCAGAGAAGACATTCTCGTTTAGCATTCAACAACCATTGGAATAATCCTTTTTTTATAATGGGAATATTAGATGATCTTTGTTCGATATAATATATATAGTCTTTAATATACCGCATGTGGAATAATATCTGATTCATTCCAGTATTCATTTTTATACAACTGTTAAAAATATAGAATACCCATTCAAATTTAGAATTAATGCAAAATACTCCTATTTTTTAGAGTGCTAGTATAAGCAACTAGGTTTACATCTTTTTATGATTCTTCTACATTGCTGAAGTCATGAGCCTTTTCTACTGAATCAGACTTGCTATGGTATTTCTTGATCCGTAATTCTGAAAAATCAGTCTTAAGAGCGTGAATAATTCCTTACACATCTTTTCTAAAATGGCAAATAAGTGACGCACTTGTTTTATTCTCAAAAGGTAATGAAGACGTATGCTTGGCCCAGTTCCAAAGTTCAGTTAATACTATTTCTTTATTAGAGGCTAAGCGGAATGCCTTAACTTTCTGAGGCTAGTAAGTATTGCGAATAATAGAGAGAGGTATATCCTTACGAAGGGTCGTAATCCATTCAATATTGAGATCAGTTAGATCATTATCTATTACAATAATACGCCTAGCCTCTTGGATTATTTATATAATTTCTCTATTGATTATCCGGCTAAATGACACTGTGCCTGAACAATTATAGATACTATTTCATCAAACCACAAATCGTATTGGATTAGAAAACATTTGCATTTTTTATTACATTTATAATTATTGGTAATACGATATAAACTTTCTATCTAGCATACTATCCTCTTATGATCAGATAAATTTATATTACCATTGATATCACAATATGATTTGAGATTGAGTCTTGTAATAACAGCATTTGAGTAATGGTGATATATAAATAATACTAGTAAATTCACATCATCAGGTATAGTAAGATACTCTAAAACATATGTTTTTCCATCTCCTAAGGTGAACCTACATAGATATCATCTTTATTAGATAATGATCTTACATATCTCTGCTCATATATTTCTGTTGCTAAAAGTAGCTCATTATACTTAACCTAAGATGAGAAATTTATAAAGGCTTTAAGGAAGCCCAGAACTTTGGGTTTCCTTTAGAAACATTACAAAGATTTTTTATTTTCTTGCTAAATTTTTTCTGCAATAGATGGATCGCATTTAAAAACTTTTCCGCACTTATCACTATTTTGCTGAAAATATTTTATGATGAATTTATCATTTCTAACGTATACACAGCTGATCCTTGTAATATACATGTTGCAGAGTGAATATCCTAGTAGAGCTTTTCGGTTAAAATATACAAAGTTTTCTGAGTCCTTTTCTCCAATAATCCAATCCTTAAGATAGTTAGAATATTTTTGCAAAACTAGATTTGTGAATTTCTGTAATACATTCTGACCCACAGATATTTTTAGCAGATTATTATTTTTTTTCCATACTAAGTATTCGAGATCTTACTTCAAACCCTATGTTAGTAGGTGATTGAATTCTAGCATGATCAAGTTGATTTCACCTATTATCTAGTGAGAATTGAAAAATATGCTTTACATAATCTTTTTGCCAAACCAATTAGGCGAAGGTTAAAATTTTGATCAAGCAATTCTCTATCAATATATTTGCTGAATTTTTCACCAGTTATGATATATACTAATTCAGTAAATCCTTTGAGTTTATGATAATCAACAAGAAGAGCCAGTGTATATAAAATATGGTAATTATACTTGCTAGAATCTGAAGATGTAATAATAACTAATCCATTGAGAATGTTTTTTCAACTACAGTCAAAAATTCAATACAAGGCTCTTATGAAAGATAGGCAGATTTGAATGAATACTTCTTGTGTTTTAACACCAGCTGTTTCCATAACTTTCTGCAAAGTATCTATATCAATCACAACTCTTAAAGACTTTTGACTATTAATGCATTCATAAATCTTGAATAAACCATATACTTCAGAAATATCATCTGCAATAGAAAACTTTAGGATTTGATCATCTTAATCGATTTTGATAACCAATTTATTTTCTACTTCATTCTGATCATAAGCATTATATAAACTAGACCCTTTTTTATTCAGAAAGAGAAATGAATAGATTGAAAGGCATTCTAATAACCCTTTATCATCTGACATATCTCTAAGTAGCGATAAAGTAATTTTTCGAATTTCATTTACCAAATCCTTAGAAGAAAATTTATCATTAAACTTTTTCTGCTTTAAATATATATTATATTAATATTTTGCTCTTGTATATTTAGTAGTTGAACTAATAGAGTCTCAGTAGTACTGGTTGAAACGCAGGAGCTTCTTCATTATCTAACTCATAATTAGACTCATAGTTATTATAATCATCTGATCCCAAATCAGATTCATTATCGCTATAACTATTTGAGTAACTTAAATATTTATTGGTGCTATCATAGCGGGCAAGAGGATCAGTTCCAGTATGATCAGTTTGGTTAGAAATAGTTGGAGTATACAGTCCGTTAGTTTGAAAGTATTTATATTTATAAAATTCAGAAATCTTTAATTAATTTTTTTTGATAGTTGCAAAAAAGAAGTAATAGTAAACTTAATAAGCAAATTGTAAAAGAAAGACAACCAGATGTATCTGAAAAAGTAAAGCCTTCTTCGTAAATATTATATAAAAAATTGGAAGAAGGCTTCATCTTTCTAGATATGTATTCAGGTATAGTATAACCTTTGCGTAATATAGAGATATATCAAAAGAGATATGAAGTTGGCATCTCCAATTCTCTAACCAACTGATCCACTAACCAAAATCCCAAATGCCACTCAAATATTCCTCAAATATCTCTTAAAAATTATGGGAAGGTAATAGGAAAAGGAAAGACTAGAGCCTGGTCATGTGATATAAAAATTTAGGCGTAATAAGTTAATGGTCAGATTTTTGAATGCTGAATAAACTAATAAAATATCTCTGGATTGACACTGTATTGGATGTCATCTGATACTGAGCCCTCTAGGATCACTATCATATGATTCTTCTAATAATATGTGTATAGAGTATCATTTAACATAAAGCCCTTTGGGATTATTATCATATGATTCTTCTAACAATATATGCATAGAGTATCACAAAAACTTTAGGTGTAGTAAATTAATATATACACAAAGAATTACCTTCATTAGTGATATCTGCCTAAACTCTTTTTTGAAAAATTGTAGTTTCGTCAAAAGTCTCATCTCTTTAATATTTTTATATGAATAAATATAAATTATATTTTTTAATGTATTTTAATTCAAGGAATTTAGATCAAGTTAAATATAATTTCAGCAATTAAGTAAAATAATTTTGTCATTAATAAAAAACTAGTTTCATCATTTCAGTTTCGTCAATTTCGTCATATTAAGAAAGATAATTTCATTAGATATCACTATCTGTCATTAAGCCTTCTAAGAGCACTATCAGATAGCTCTTCTAACAATATATGTATTTTCTCGCAACACCCATTTTAGAAAAAAAAGGCACAATAAATTAACAATAATGTCAGTCAATACTATTCTATAATTTCAGCTAGAACTTTAAGCATAATAACTCAGAAACCAAGTTGGCATAGATGTGATATAAACTGGCAAACTAATAGAACTACTCTATCTTCCTATCAGTTTCATGACAGCTCCACAGTAGTTCCAATATACTACCAAGTTATCATCATGACCTCAAGCAGGATCCTCAAATCATGTATTCTAAAGATCAGCCAGAATTATGGCATGAAATTAATCACGAATTTACTGTGCCACTAATCACCTTTTTTACACTATTTCAGCATTCTGGAAGTAATCAAATAGGCATGCATTTTCAACATAGAACTGGTAACCAAACTAACACAGAAGGTCAACATCCTTATTATAGAATCAGATATTCAAAGAAGACTAGAAAGCCAGTATTAGCAATATAGAATTTATTATGTAAATAAATTAGAAACAAGAAGAAAGCGTTTACTATTAAATTATGATATCACCAATAAAATAAAGTACTACTAGTCACCATTAGACTATGAAATCACCATCATAATATAAAGGAAAAGATTAAAATAACACTATAAATACAAAGAAGCTACCCAAAGAATAAACTGAGTAGACTATGAAGTTACTATCAGATCGTAATAGTAGGTTATGAAATTATTATCAGATTATGTAGTTAGATTATGAAGTTACCATTATAATATGAAGATATCAGTAGACTATGAAGTTATCATTATGATATAAAGATACCAGCAGACTATGAAGTTAACATTATATTATGAAGATACTAGTAAACTATGAAATTACCATTATGTTATAAAGATACCAGCAGACTATGAAGTTATCATTATGTTATAAAGATACTTGTAGACTATGAAGTTACCTTCATAATCTAATGTAAGTCACATGCAACTAGTGTCAAAAAAAATGATTTTAACTAATGAATATAAAAGGTTTTAAAGTAATTAATAAAAAATTTTGTAAAATTGAATTTTTTAAAGTATTTATTGAAGAAATTACTTTGAAATTATTTATTAATTAGTTTAACAAATGATTTTTAACTATTTTTAATAAAATATTATGTTTAGTATTAATTAAATCATAATTTTATATTTTGAATTTAAAAATTAGATAAGTAAATATATAGGAGATGATCAATAGAAAAGAGAGAAATCTAAATTTTGATCAAAATTTATATTTTTAGATCATTTAACTAATTTCAATCATGTGAACAAATTTGGCTTAATAATAAAAATTAACAAAAATTTTGGATTTCTCTCTTTTTTACTGATTGCCTTCCACATTATTATATTAAGCTAATATATTAATAAATTTATAAAATATTTTATTAATTTCATATTCTATATATTTAATAATTTAAATACTTTGTTATTAAATAGATATTTAATTATATAATATTAATCATCATATAATAAAAAGTTAAGAAGATTATTATAAATATAATTCATTTATTATAAATTAATTTTTATTAATAAGCAAAATTTTGATAATAAAAATCTATATTATTAATTTGATTTCCAATAATAGATTAAAATATATAAGAGGTTTATTAGAAAAATTGAGTTCTAAGCATTTTTTATAAAATTTTAATTTTTATTGTATTTTAATCTAACATTATCAAAAATAAAAATTAAAATTTTAATAAAAAATGTTTAGAGCCTTATTTTTCTAGCAAATCTCCTATATAGTAATTTGTTTTTTAATAATATTAGAATTTAATTCAAAAACTTTTTATTTAAATCATTTGTAATAAGAATTTAATTTAATTTAATTAATATTTTTAATATAATAAATAATTTTAGTTAGAATACTTTTCAAACTATTTATTTAATATTAACTTTTAATTATTATTGAAAAGAAGAAAAAGATAAAATAAAATAGCAATAAAAAAATATTTTTAGATAAATTTTATTATCGTAATAGGTGAATTTTTTAATTTATTTGTAAATAGTATAAAAAAATTTTATAATATATGATAAATGTAATTTTAAATTAATATTTATTACTATTATTATTAAGGTTATAAGTAAAAGCTATTATATTTGATAATATTTGAATTAATAAATTTTGATTAAATTTGATATATTATATTATATAGTATATAATTTAAAACATATCGATATGTTTGTTTCACTCAAATTTTATGTAATGTCAATTTTTGCTAATTAGCAAATCAGTATTAGTTAAAATAAAATTTATTACTATTTAGTTTTTGTACTATTTTTTTAAATAAAATAAGAAAGTGATTATCTGCAAAGTCCCTTTATTAAGCTTTTTAATAGTAAACAGACCTTTTATTATAAAATTATAAATGAAGGAACATATCCTCTTTCTCATCAAATTTATTATACTAGAAGATCTAAACATCCTATTTCTTATAGTTATGTTGTTAAAACCAGTATGAAAAAGCAGAACATATTATTATATATTCTTTACTTTAAAGCAAATTTTACAAAGGAAGTACAATTATTAGAGCTTTTAATAAATGCTGCCTGCAAGTATATTTGTTATTTAATACTTTATATTGGATTTATTATTTTTTTTTAATTAAAATTTTTTAAATTTATTAGGAGTTCAAAAAATTAGAAGAAAATCAAAGCTAACAACTTATTATACTATCACCACCAAATTTCATAATAAAAATCAATAAAAAAAGGTTTAACTAAAATATCTAGTCCTCTTCTTTTAGTCTCAAATTATTTAGTGTTGAAAGAATACATAAAATGATCTTTGAAAACTAATCCCAAAATTCGTATATTTAATGAACTTAGTATTTTTACAAAATGTCATAAAATACTAAATTTATCACAGCATATTTCAATATTATTAAAAAGGAAAAAGAAATAAAACTTAAACAAATGAAATTTGAAGTTAATAGTAACTTATATGATATTAATTTTGGATAATTAGATGAAAAAGAAAAAATAAAAAGAATTGAAATAGTAGTCAAATTTTTAGATCAGATTTATATTTCAAGAGATGCATATCGATCTTTAGCAAGAATTGAATCAGTTATTCAACTTGAAGGAATGGTATCTAAAGTTCAAGAAAAATCAATACAGAAATGAATAAAATAATTTTAATAACTTTTGTTAATATATTACAACTAACTAACTTTAAGCTAATTACCAAAGAATTAGATATTACTAATGATACAATTATTGTAAATATGTTAGAATCTATTGGAAAAAGAGAGCAATGACATTTATAAGCATTTTGAATTATATAGTACTATTATATATTAAATAAGGAATTTTAATTTCTAGAATATTAATTTTACATATTCGAATTTTGGTGATGAATAAAATGTAAAACGTAAAGTTAAACATGTAATAATAATAATGACATTATTAAATCATTTAGAGAAATTATAAAAACTAGACAACTATTATATTTTAGTTTTATATCTGGATACTGAAACATATAAATCTCTTAAAAATGCTTTAACTTCTTTAATTTCTAATCAACATATATTAGAAAAAGGATTTTATCAAATTGGTGATAATTATTAGCTAGTAGAATTATATTTTAGTATTGATTGGAAATTTTTAGCAATTTATTTAGAAATGAAGGCCACTAATAATAGTATTTTTGCTTATGATATAATTTAATAAAATTAAAATTCAAACTACAACAAAAGTAATAAACAAATCAATAGAAAATATTAAAACAAATTATAGTCAAATTAATAGATAGTATCACTAGAAATAATCTTCTCTTATTACTTCATATAATATATCTAAGTTTCTTTGCTGCGGTAAGTAACTTTCTTATTGTCAGACTTTACAACCTTAGAGAATCTTACGTTTTACAGGTATCCAGAATGCCTTGGAATTACTTCACTTAGTTTACAAACTTAAGGGTTTAGAGACTTAAAAAATTTAGAGAATTTATTTATTCTAAGTGATGAACTCAATCGCAAATTAGTATAGTAGTTCACGATTAAATTCTAGATGATGGATATGTAGAAGGGAAAGTAATTATTTTAAAAGTTGATTCCTTTATTTATTACTTAAAACTCACAAGTATTTTAGAACTTACAAAAGAGTTATTTTACAATATAAGCAAAAAGCTATTCTATTTATACAAATTAATTTGCTATGGCTAACTAATTGCTATGCTATAAACTAACTAAATTTGTAACTACAAGTGTTATTATAATGATGATAATAATTATAAGAAGAATAATAATTATAAAGATAATAATAAGTATAATAAAAATAATAAAAATAATAAAAATAATGATAATAATTAAAATAATGGAAATACAGGGAATTAGGAAAATCTAACGAATCATGATAATCTAAAGAATCCAGTAAATCCTAAGAATTCTACAAATCCCTAAAATCCTGTGGATCCTAAGAATCATTAAAATCCAGAATTTTGCAGATCTTCTAATTTGTAATCAACATAAAATTAATTCCAGTAACTTCTGTATATCATTTAATAATTCTTTGTAGATCAACTTTTCAATAGTGAATTTTTAGCCAGTAATAACATATAAAAAAGTCATTATTTTATATAATAGCTTTACAGAATTGGTATGTAATGAATTACATTTTTTTTTATGAGTAACAGATAGGTTATAGGATTTGATGATTTCTGATCTTTGTCATGAAACTACAATTGAAAAATAAAAATCTTATTAAAAATGCAAAGACTTAAAATATCATTTAAATTTTAGTATAAAAAAAGTAGTAAAAACTTATCATATACTTCTCTTATGGATTTAGATAAATTAAAAATCTTGAAAGAATTTAATCTTATTATAATCTTTCAATCAGAAACACAGGTTGTACAAATTCATACATTATAGAATCAATTTAATAAACTATATTATTTGATGTAAAATAGATAGACTACAAGTGAAATTTTTTGTTATAAAGCTCAAGCTTGGTTAGATGTATTTTTAGCTTCTTCTATAGGTCATCCTAATAAAAGTAATTTTATTAGGAGATGTATCATATTTTAAAATATTATATCTTATATCTATTAGTTAATCATGTTGCTGAATTTTTTGATATTTATCAAGATTTTAGACTGGCTACTTTTTCTTATTCAGCAATAGAAAAAAGAATCATATGGGAGTTTTATTAAAAAAAAAAGGAAAAAAAAAGGGTTCTAAGCATTTTTTATTAAAATTTTAATTTTTATTGCATTTTAATCTAATATTATCAAAAATTAAAATACAATAAAATTTTAAATTTTAATAAAAAATGCTCAGAGCTCCTTTTTCCTAGTAAACCTTCTATATACAAGTATGTTTTATTTTCAAAACATACTAAAAAATGGAGAATATAAAAATTCATGAAAAACTGTAATTTTAAAAATATTAGAATACAAGAACTAGCAATTATATTTAGCATTGAACAAAGTTTCAAACTTTTTTAAAAAATTTAAAAAATATAGGCTTGGATAATAAATAAATAATACTAAATACTTATAGTTAATTCTATTTTAATTTTTTTTTATTATAAAAATAAAAAAAATAAAAATAAAAGATAATTACATCAAAAATCTTTTAAATTTAACATTGATCTAAAAAAAATAAAACTGAGCAGAACCCGTCTCAAATTTGTGATTTTCTTTATCCTTATCACCTGTTATCTTTCACATAATAATCATTTCCTTACTAACTAATAATTTTGTTTTAGTATTTCTTAATTTCAATATTTTTTGCTTATGATTACTATTTACATTATTGCTGTTGTTTATATTATTTGTTTTAAGTATATGCAGCTGAACAAAACTTAACTGTTCTTGCCTATAATTATGTTTCTCCCAATTCTTATCATATAATAAATGTTCAATTTTGTCAAATGCTATTTTACCTTTAAAACTGCAAAAATAAAAAGATTCACATAGTGAATAATGTATTATATGAGTTTTAAAAATACCAACAAAAGTATTCTTACTATAATATATTGAAAAACTTATTCTCTGACCGCAGTATGATAATTTTTAAGTCATTTTATAACTTCTTGATTATAGCTCTCTTCAAATATAGAAGTATAGAAGTTCAAAATCTGAAATTGGTTAAATGTGTAATAAAAGTGTATTATATGATAAATGTTTTAATTTTTTATGTCATTACAACCCTGAGTGACTTTTAAATTCTTTAATACATTTATATAGATTGAATAATAGAATCTAAAAGAATCTTGAATTGGAGAAATCTTTAAATAAAAAAGATTTAAATAAAATAATCATTAATAAAAACTATTTATATTATTTTTTGATTTATATACCTTTAGGTAGATAGGTTAGATGCAAATATGTGGGTTAGGTAGTAGGTAGATAGGCTGGATAATAGGTAAATGGGTTGAATGTAAGCTTTACATATAATTATTTTTGTTTTGAGATAAATCTATCAAAAAAATAATTATTTTATTGATCTGTATACATAACTAATATAGAATATGATTTATTAATCAGTTTAACATTATACAAAAAGATATAATAACATAATTATTTCTTTATATAATATGAAATATATACATGCATATTAAATATTTAATTATCTTTTTAATTTATTTGAAAATATTCAAATTAAAAGTTTTGTTAAAATAAAAATTGTTTTAATATTTTATATTACTTTGATAAGTTAAGAATAATATTTGAAAAAAAAGATTGTTTTATAAAAATAAGATTTCAAACCAATAAAATAATTTTTTAAACCAAATTTAAATTAGAATATAGATCAAATAAGTTAACAATAAAGTAAAGATTTTATTTATAATAAAAGTTATATTATCTTGAATCAAATCAAATTAATTAGAATTCCAATTTAAAGTATTTATAACTTTTAAATATAAAGTATATAAATTGTTAATTTAACCAAGTTATTTTTGTAATTAGATAGTTATAATACTATAAATTAAAAATTAAATCTTAAAATTTATTAGTTTCAATTTTATTTGATTAAAGACACTATTATTATTATTAAAATTATATAAATTTTTATGATTACAAAAAAAAAATATGGAAAAACTTTGACATTATTATAGCTTTATAAGATCATTTTTATAGCATTATTTACAAACCCCTAGATCGATCCATTTTTATAAATTTTTTTTTTTTTTACTATAATTATTTATTAAAATAATCTGATATATGTTTATTGTTAAAAAGAATATCGCAATAAAAGTATAAATAAAAAGAATATGACAGAAAATATGATTTGTACAAATTTCTTAAATCATGAAGTAACGGCCATTATTCTCATCTAATTTATACGTTCATATGAAGGTTGATATGTCAGACCAACCACGAATAAAAGACAAGCTAATAAGAAATTCATAATATAAGAGTAATCAGCAAGATAATAACTAAAATCAGTTTCAACACCTCCAATGAATTTGGAAGAAAGTTCATCAACTGTTTCAACTGAAATCAATTGAAGAAGTGCTGTATAAACGAAAACAAATATATTAGCAAAAATATTAAATTTAATATCTAACAAAGGAAGCGAGAGGGTAAACTTACAATATAATAAAGTTAAACCAAAGACAACTTTCCAAGCATGTTCATGATGAAATTTACGGCTAATTAAAATAAAAATGCAATAAACCAAATTAAGACCTCCAAATACAGCTGCAAGTATCATATTATATCTAGCTTTAAGCCATTCTTCACAAAATCCTTCCATTGTGCAATCACCATTAGCTTCTGAAGGGAATTCCGAACATTTAATTTGTCCTCTTAATGTTATACATTTCTTTTAAAGGAAAAGTAAAATATATAATTAAATAGAAGAAATAACATTTATTGAATTAATTATTTTTTACCTCAAATAGACCATAATTTGTAACTGGATATGATTTGGATTTTAACCTTACAATTTTTGTTAAAAAAGAATTCAGAGTTACAAAATTATTACACAAGACTATCAAAAAATAAACCACTTTAGAATAGTATAATAAGAAGAAACCTTACCAAAATGGCGAAACTAACGAGAATGATCCACAAACATAAGTAAAAGTGAAAAACAAAGAAACTACAATATATGCTCGCAAACCACGCATTTTTATTTACAAACGTTTCAGAAGACAAAAATTTCCTTTTAAAAAAGCTACTTCTGACCCGTAATCGAATATATCACTTAATTTCTGTGATAATAATAATTTTAGCATGATAATCACGAGCTAAATTTTTGGTTTTAACCTATCTAAATGGCATAATATCACGTGCTTAAATAAAAATGATTTATTATTAAATTATATATAAATGAATGAATTACACATTTAATTTCTAATTGCCAATATGAATATAGTTAGAAATTCTTTTGAATTAAGTATTGAATTTCTGTTCTCACATTTACGTAAATGAAACTTATCGCTAATGCAAGTAATGTATATTATTATTACCTTACATCCTATTCAAATCGAATTTCTGATTTATTAATCATACACAATTGCTATGACAATTAAGAAGATTAGCTAGTGCGCATTAATAAGGAATTCATCTCAATCATTTCGACTGTTTCTGTTATAATTAAAGAATATAATATTTAATAATTAATAATTCATATGTAATTTATATATCATAATAATTACCTATACATTGATTCTTGTGTCACTTGCATTTCATCAATTTCTGGTGCAATCTCAGCAAGTATTTCATAAGCTTCTTTATAAAATGCCAATTGGGCTGACACCAAGTCTGAAAGATTTCGAAGGGCTTCGGGCTAAATTTAATTTGATGATCAATCATATTATTAACTTTTCTTAAAGAGACCAAAAAAAAATAAAAATGATGCTTAATGCCAATTTGATACCGTTTCAAGTACTGATTTCATTAATGTAGTCGCTTCCTCGACAGCAGCTACAAATTGATCTTCTGCCTGCTCAACTTCTAATCTTACGGCCTCTGATCTTTCTCCACGAACAGTCTTGCATCTTCTCTTAGCAGAATCAAGTGCCAAACGTGTTGAATTAACATTCCTTCTTGCCCTCATAGCAAATTGAATATTGGTATTAAGTGTTGTATTAAAAGGCTGAACAAATTTCTGAGCTATCTCGGAATCCATCTTAATTCTATGATCTCCAATACGTTCTTGTACGGTCGCATATTTATTCAACGCCGCCCCAAGAGGATCTTCACTACCCAAGTATTTCGCACCATGTTCTGATGTGCGTGCTAGAGCGTGATGGTATGTCTTTGGTTGTTGGGGTGGTAAAGTTTCTGCTGTTCGTGTTTCGGCTACCCTTTCATTGGGAGGAGAAGTTAGAATTTTAAATTGATCACCAACGCTACGCGTAAGCTCTTTTACTGATTCTTGAAGTTGTCCAGGATAATCATATGATGGATTTGTATGAATCCGAGTGACTCTTAGCAAATCTTCATGAATTGTTCGAAGCGCATCGACGCGCTTATCAATTAAATGCAGATATTTATGTTAGAATTATAAATTAAAATTATGATAAGGAACAACTAGCTCAATTATTTTTTCAAGATATTAACCAGTTCAAGTTCTTTATATTCTGGAGGTAAATCAGTTATATCTTCCGCGGTTCCAAATTTTTCAGATGCAAACTATAAAAAAGTAATTTCATAGATGAATTAGGTATAAGTACGTGCCTCTTTTAACCACTACGAAAACGAAATTTCAACCTGAACAGCTTGATTGATGTTTTTAGTAAACACTCGAGAAAAGTTGTTCATGCTTAAGGTCTAATTAAAATAAATGCAAATAAGGAAGAATTGAAAAGTCTAAAAATGTTAATTTTAAAAAAAGCGGAGTTAAACCTTTTGGGAGCTAATTCACATGATTCGTGTCACTTAGGGTGGGAAAATTTGCAATAGCTATACAAGTTAAAGTTTATCGAATTATCACAACGCTATTCGTTCGATCATGATCTACAGTATATAAATATCGCGTTTTTCGAATTCTTTCCCATTCCTTCCTTTTGTTTCAAAAATGTCGAGCAAAGTTACTGCAAGTTCATTAACTTCGCCACGACAATTAATTGAGTTTACATTTGTATTATTAAATTCTCCTAAATTAAATCATTTAAAAAACTTTATATTTATTTTAGTGTTATATCGTTATGGTTCCACTTTATTAAATAAAATTGCTGTTCAAGGAGTACGTCGTACCCTCGGAGATATTTATCGTATTATTGGTGGTGCAATTTTAAGATTAATAACAAGCGCACCTGGTGCGAGAAATAAACTTCAAGCCGAAATTAATAAGGCCATAAGAGATTTGGAACTTAAAATTGCCCCAAAAGAACCTGGCGTACCAAGATATCTTGCATTACCTGATGTTGGTTTTAATGATGCACAATTAAGAGAAGAATTGAAAAGGTAATTATTATTTTATATAATATATATTTACTCATTCGATTCAATAGCAGTTCACCCTAACAGTAAATTTTATTTAATTAGATATCAGGGTATGTGTAATGATGATGTAAAGTGGGAGGATGGTCGAGTATCTGGTGCAGTGTATCATGGAGGCGAGGATCATTCAAAAATACTTAATGAAGCGTATTCAATGTTTTCTGTAAGTAATCCTTTGCATCCTGATGTATTTCCTGGAGTAAGAAAGATGGATGCTGAAATTGTCGCGATGGTGCTTAATATGTATCATGCACCTGTAAATGCTGGAGGTACTACCACTTCGGGTGGTACTGAGAGTATTTTAATGGCATGTAAAACTTATCGCGATCGGGCAAGGAAAGAGAAAGGGATTATTGAACCTGAAATGTAAGTTCCTAAATTCTTTGAATTTTCATCCTGATTATATAATGTTCATACATAAAATATCAATAGGGTGGTTCCGGAAACTATACACGCAGCATTTGATAAAGCAGCCGGTTATTTTGGAATTAAAATTATAAAAATTCCAATTGATCCTAGCGATTACCGTGTTGATACCAATGCTGTTAGCAGAGCAGTTAATAAAAACACTATCATGGTACGTGATATTTTATTATTATTTTTTATACATTACGTAAAAAAAAAAAAAATTTGATTTAAAGTTAGGATTTCGATATCGACAGATTGCAGGATCAGCACCAAATTTTCCCCATGGGATAATTGATGACATTCCTACTTTAGCAAAAATTGCCAAAAAACGTGATATAGGAATGCATGTTGATTGTTGTTTGGGTAGCTTTTTGGTGCCATTTTTAGAAGAAGCAGGGTATCCCGCTCAACCTTTTGATTTCAGAGTCGATGGAGTAACTTCAATATCTTGTGACACACACAAGGCATGATAAGAATGTTGTTATTTAAGAAAATCTATTATTATATATAATAATTTGTGCTAATTCTTAAAATTTTATCGTTAATAAATAGTATGGGTTTGCGCCTAAAGGTTCTTCAGTGATCATGTATCGCACAAAGAGCCTTCGCAAATATCAATATTTCTTTTGTCCAGAATGGACAGGAGGAATTTATGCTTCACCCACAATTGCCGGATCACGGTAATGTTTCTTTTTTTTTTGAAAGGGTGGTTATTATTTTGCGAACTATTATAACTTTATTTCATTTATAGCCCTGGTGCATTGATTGCCGGATGCTGGGCATCTTTAATGAGAATGGGAAAGCTTGGTTATATTGACGCCACAAAAAAGATTGTAGGATGCGCAAAAACAATTGAAGATGGGTAAGTTATTGGAAAAAAAAAAAAACAAAAAAAAAATTAATCAAAATTATTTATTGTTTCTTTAGTATTCGTCAAATGGATGATCTATTTGTGTATGGTAAACCACGTGTGTCAGTGGTAGCTTTCGGATCAAAAACGCTCAATGTTTATGACCTTAGTGATAAAATGTCGGCTAGAAAATGGAATTTAAATTCGTTACAAAATCCACCAGCAATTCATATCGCATGTACACTGCTTACAGTACCTCATGCTGAACAATTTTTACGGGATCTTAGGGAATCAATTAAAGAAATTAAAGAGATTAAAGAGTCTGATCCAAATAGAAAACTTTCCGGAAGTGCCGCCATTTATGGAATGGCAGCTAGTTTACCGGACAAATCGATTGTAAATGAGGTCGCTTGTGGGTTCTTGGATGCATTGTATTCCGTGTAATTTTTGACGAATATTTAATATCAATTCAAGTGATTCTTTTCTTATGGTTATTTATTTAACCTTATTATTCCAAAAATAAATTAATACTTCATGGTGAGAGTTCGAATGAACATATATAAAAGATGTAAAATTTTCTTTCGTGCGTATGGCCGATTATTCTCCTATTTGGATGAGAAAGTGTAGATCGCGTTTGCTTAATATTGCAACAATGTGCACACTCGTACCAAATTAAGTTATATTTCTGAATTGATAGAATAAATCGATTGTTAGACTTATCAACTCTCCCCTTTTGCTGCTTCGATAAATTTTATAGATACAAGAATCATATATAAACAAATAGAGAACTTTTATAAGAAGAAAACGATGTTTATTATTAGTTCTATCATGAAACTTTTTCGGTTATCGTTTGCAATCATGACTCTTTTAATGATTGCGATAAACCGTTGGATGGCTTTCGCCGCTCGATTATCCATGATGTACTTTATTACTACTTTTTTTATTTGAAAACAAAAAAAAAAAAAATTTGTTTGATTTTTTAAAGGGTATCTAAAAAAAAAAAAAAAAAAAAATATTTTATCTTTATAGGTTCGTCTTATGGAATTCCCTGTTAGCAATAATTGGAATTGTTTCAACGGTTCAAATTTCATTGGGATATTGTTTTGATGTAATGAAATTAACGTCAGGAAGAATTAGGTTGACAGGTTCAAAATCTTCAGCAACATTAAAGGATCGTAATGAAGGACTGGAAGGATATTGGCAAAGTCGAAGGAAAGGATATCAAGAAATGATAGATAAATTATATACGGGATATATGGAAAGGTTAATCGGAGTACAACAACAACAAGCTCAATATTGGGAACATTCTCAATATATGTATTCTCAACCCAGATATCAAAATCAGAATGGAGTTGGAGGTGATGTTTACGTTGATGATCATAGAAATGCCGAGTATTATCATCATGACGATTATTATTATCGTTATGATGAAGGTGATGAACTAATGATGATGGATAACGGTGAAGGTTCTAGTGATCGGAATTTGAATTTTGAAACCAATTCTGATGGTATGAGTGAGGGAAGTTCCTTTATGGCGGATATTAAAATTACTGAGGATACCTCTGCTACGATTATGGAATAATTGAAACCATTAACAACTCAAAATAGAAAAAAAAGCTGTGCTTTTTATTTGCGTTGTGTAAGATATTTATTATTTTATAATTGATTTGTTTTTTTTTATATTTATTATATATATAAATCTATATTTGGTTTTTTTTTTACTTGAGAAAAAATGTGGTTTATTAATATTCTTGTGTATATTATTTATATTATTTACAACTCAAACTTTTTTTTTATTAATAAAAAAAATATATCTCGTCACAATCTTGTCATTCCATAAAAAAACAATGTTTAATTTACAATAGTAAAGAAAAAAGAACCATCTGAACTAAAAGAAAAGAAAGATTTTAGAAAGTTATGAATGAATAATAGAAATTTATAATAATAAAGCTGGAAATTGGCTTGTTAAACAGTAAGTTATTCTCGTAAAAATATGATCATTTATTGAAAAGAAAAAAAAAGAAATTTTTAATTTGATATCATGAGCTTTTTTTCAATTAACCTAAAAAAAAAAAAAAAAGAATTTTAACGAGACAATAAAGTGGGATTTTTTAAAATATTTCAAACAATACAATTTACTTTTATAATTAATTATAATCGAGCCTCACCACTCGATCGGGTAACTCCAAGTTCCAACAATTTTCCAAATGCTGCCGCAAAATCATTAAAGAATGCTTGTTTGTCTTTAGCATATTCTTCAACGATCTTTTTGAATTCAGGGTCCCAAACTAATGCCATATCGGCTGGAAGCATCATAAGTCTATCTTTATCATCTTTATATTGAACTTGACCGTTAACTTCTTTGGTAGTCCAATTTTGTTTTAACAATTGAATGTAGCTTTTGGGGGGAGAGAAAAAAAAACAGAATATTAAAGAACAAGGTTCAAAAAAAAAAAAACTTTGTTTTTGCGATTGACTTACTATTGTGAAGTGAATCTGGTAGGAGTATGAGTCCAAGGTCCATCAAATCCCGAACGATCCTTGTGACACCGACCAATAGAATGAGCTCCAATTAGAGCGACAATCTCGCTGAAAATTTTCAAATAAAATAAAGATTGAGTTACCTATTATTCATTTATCATGCATCAGATGATGAATAATAATAATATACTAACCGATCATTGAAACCCATACGATTAAAAACTTCTCGAACGTGTTTTTCACCTTGAGAGGCATCTGGGAGACGACCCTGTGGTGGACATTCTGTTTCTTTAACTTTATCTATGCGACCAGGTTTCCATGGAACAATTGGTCCACCTAATTCTTGAACAGCAACAACACCGGCAAGAGTCCAAAGATCGGCATCTAAATCATAAAAAAAATTTAGTAAAAAAAAGGAAAATTAATTTACAAGAAATATTTTTTTAAATAAAACGTGACTTACAAGAAATCCAAGGATGATTATCTTTTATTGGTTCCAAAATTTTACGTGCGTGTTCTAAACCAGCATTAGCGGGATCAGTAGATTCGGTATGAAACCTCATCGTAGCTCCGTTAGAAC